CCCGGCCCAGGCACTCTCTCTCTCCCACTCTCTAAAAAATCAATAAAAACATATCCTCAGGTGAGCTGTAGGTCATTAACAGTGTCACCCTTTTTAATAATTTCAATAGGTCTATGAAAACATTTTGACTCTCATGTTTAATTAATTCACATGTAATCCTTCAGGTCTAATGGGAGGCTCTCTCTTTGGCAGTTGCTAAGATTAGAATTATAGTTCTGTTACTCAAGTTTTACATAACTTTTTTATACCTCATTCTTCTCATCTGTAAAATGGGGGTCATGTTTCTTAGTATTATATTTCAGCGAATGATATATGAGAATGATGCCTGGCATAGAGTAAATATATAGATATTAGTTCTCATCTTTCTTAATAAAATTAATGGTGTTAGTGCTCCTTTGGTGAATGATTAGGAGCTGTGTATCAAGTCCTTCCATTAAGTGGAGTTGAAATTTAAGAGGAAATTGTGACAAGTAGAACCCATATCATAGGCATCTCCAAGCCCCAAACTGTCATCAGTCCCATCCGTCCCCTGGGCCATTCTTCACAAGGTACCTAAAGTGCCAGGACATGCCACTGTGTCCACAGAGAGCTTGTGGTGGCCTCTTGCTGAGCTAGCCAAGCCAGTCCCTGAAGGCCAGACAAGGACAACGTGGACCAGTGATGGCTAGACTTATTACTTCCGGTCCCTCCTTTTCAAACTGGCCCTGTCAACCCCACATCCAGGTAGCACCTGGGAAATTGATTCCCAATTCACCTGCATTTCTCTAGAAGTTATTTTGGGCTGCAGTGTCTTTCTGTTTCATTCCTTGAAGACCAAAAGGCATCATCTCTGTTCTTCATGCTTAGGTCCAGTTGTTTCAGGAGACCGGAAATCAATGCCAGGAGAGATCAGATGGTAGACTGGCTTACCCACACCACACATACATGCCTAGTTCTGTGTTCTCAGACTATGAGTATGTAGGGTTGGGTATTACCAGGAGAATTGAACCAGAATGGCCCCAGGTAATGCTGGGACAGGGTCCTAAAGCCCCCTCCTATGTTGGCATTAGTCCTTTAGTTGCTGGATCATGGGGAGGCTGGAGGAGGAGGTGTTGTCAGGGTGTGGCTATTGCCACCTGCCCTGTGCCTTCTCAAACAGGGCCTGGAGCGGGATGTGGTTAGATTAGAAGGTTACCCTAAGACTTTCTTAGTTTAGTGTATGATCAGTTGCAGATAGTAGAGGCTTCTTTTTCATTAAATTTGTGCTTGTTTTGTTCCCTTCAGACTCAGGCAAGAATATCATTTTCCATTAAAGTCCAACTAATGACCTCACTTTTCTGAATTTCAGTATAGCCTGAAAGCAGCATTTTTGTGTATCCCAGTATTTTAACGACCAGAATGCTTATACAGATGTGAACTACTTGTTAGCTCTCTCCAGGGCTCCCATACCTAACAATGGAGTTTCATGGTGATGCATTTTGGGAGCCAGAAAGTTATCACTTAGCCACTAGATCTGGGAAGCTGACTTACTGTAAAATTTCACCAGATAAGAAAATTGAGGATTTGCCTCAGGACTGGCTCAGGAAACCAGGCAAGAAGGGAACTGAGAAGTAGGCTTTTTGAAGTAGGGAGAGCTTATGGAGTTACATGGCTATTTTGTTCACCACTTTATCCTCATTGTGCCTAATACATGTCGCATAGTAAATGCTCAATAAACATTTATAAATGAGTGAGTTAAGTGTAAAGCAGAACCAGAAGAAGAAATGAGATTGGTCTTACTAATGAGAGATGACATAAGTTTATATATAAAAATACCTTAAAGACTCTACTAAAAAACTGTTAGAATTAATAAATGAGCTCAGTAAAGTAGCAGGATGCAGAGTCATTATATAAAAATCAGTTACATTTCTATACACTAACAACAAACTATCTGAAAGAAAAGTCAAGAAAGCAATTCCATTTACAATTGCATTAAAAACAATAAAATGCTTAGGAATAAATTTAACCAAGGAGGTGGAAGACCTGTTCACTGAAAACTACAAGACACTGATGCCAGAGATTAAAGAAGACACAAACAGAAAGATACCCTCTGTTCTTAGATTGGAATAATTCATATTGTGAAAAATGTTCATACCACCCAAAGCAATCTACAGAGTCAATGCAATCCCAATGAAAATTCTAGTGGCATTTCTTTCCCCACAGAAATAGAAAAAGCAATCCCCAAATTTGTATAGAACCACAAAAGACCCTACAGAGCCAAAGAAATCCTGAGTAAGAACAAAGCTAGATTCTTCCGAAGATAGCAGCAGAGTAGGTGGACGTTACGCTCACCTCTTCCCAGGACCAAATCAGAATTACAGCTAAATTATAGAAAAACCAACCTGAATAACCAACTGAAGACCAGCTGAACAGAAGTCTTATAAGCAAGGATTTACAGAAGCCACATAGAGACTAGTAGGAAGGGCAGAGATGGGGAGGGTGAGAAGCTGGAAGAATGTCGCAGCTGCAAAGGTCCCCCCTGAGGAGTGTGGGATTTCAGCCTCACACCAGGTTACACAGCCCAGAGCATCAGAGCCAAGAAGAGGAGCCCACATAACACCTGTCTGTGAAAATCAGTGTGGATTCTGCCCACCAGGATG